GAGACCAAATGGTAAGCATCTCGTGATATGCATGCATCACCAGCCATTCGAATTCACACTCAGTCAAAATGTCATCATAGGAAAAGAATACAATCGCTAAAATTACATAGCAAACGTTTTAATCGGTATCTAAAAATCTAATACTGTGACAAGATATTGCTAGTGAGTTGAGAAACCGACACATCGTATTGGTCGACCAATTCGTGATGGTGATCGTAAAACGTATGTAGAGTCGACTTCAGTCGTTTTTCTTAATAACTCTGTTGGGGCAGTTTTGTGATGTTACTGCAGAGAAATGCAAATTTACAATTGGAAAGTTTAAATCATCAATTTTGTCATAGATTCTAGTTTGAAGTCGTCCATCTGAGTCAATATCGAGAAAAAAGATCAATATATGAAACTTTGAAGGTGACGACTTTGACTCTACCCTTTGGAACTCTTAATTCAATAACTTCTTTTTATGTTGTAACCCTCTATATGTGAAATCAATTATGATTAGAAAAGCAAGCCGTTGATTGTTATTTGAACTGGGAGATATAAACTCCCCATGCAGGCGTTGCTGTAATATTTCTTTACCTCAATTGAAAGTTCACAATTGGAATATTGAAATCCTCTCTTTTGTCGTAAATTTCAGTGCTAAAGCAACCCCCATCGCCGAATTCTAAATGCAAGATACGCAGGAGGCATAACTGTACTTGTGCTATTTTTTATTTCAAATTCATTGAGACTGATGCATTCAGACATAGAATGATTATCGCAACTTGACAATATAAAAATAAGAACATGTGGTTAGATTGCGAATGAGACCACTTTACAAAAAGACTAAATGATATAGAAATTAACAACTATAGGTCACCGTACGGCCTTCAACATACCGCATAGACAGCTATAAAAGGCCCCGAAATGACATATGTAAAACAATTCAAACGAGAAAATTAGCGGCCTGATTAATGTACAAAACAATGAATGAATAATGAATATCTTTTTAACATGGACACGATAAACATTAAATTGAAATTTATGAATACTTTATTACATTTACGATTATAAAATGACTCTGATTATGCTGTTTCTGCAGATTACGTAGAAAAAAGTTTTCATATAATTTGATTTCGTGTTATTGTTAAACTCGTTTTTGTTTTGATTTCGTTGTTCACAATGATGCAAGTCAAAGAGATGTACCGAAAGGGAAATACAAGACACTTGAACAAAACAAAAAAATATTATAAAGTAAAAGAAACCTATGATATTTTGTATTATTTTAACACTTTATGAACAATAATTTACAAAAAGATTACCGCTTCAAAGATAATTTATGCCAGAATAGGAGCATCGGAGTACAGTTGGATACGATGCTGCTAATCCATGAAAAAGAAGGCAATCACAACTACAATGATATCATAGGGAAATACAACTAGAACACAGGATAAAGAAAATAAATATATATTTTGAGACAATGGGGGGACTCTAAATAATTGATTAAATAGATAAATACTTTTTTTAATCAATTGAACTATTTTCACCGAGTTATTTTTTGTCTCTCAATAACAATGTCGGAAGGCATTTGTCTGATAATTTTAATCATCAAGCTAACGCATCAATAACGGCCCTCAAAATACATTATCACAAGTACGATTTAACCCTAAAGACGAACAAGTTATAAAAACATTTTCTCCAGTGACATTTGAAATTAACATTGAGAAAAATGGGATTATAAATCAAAAAGACAATCATTCGACAGTCTTTAAAGTTCAATTTATGAACAAAATAATACGACTGTAACTTTTTTTAAGCTTTAAGCCATGGCTGGACCTAGATATATTAGAATTAAAACCATTTTCATTTCAGAAAATTAACAAAAAGTCTTTAATTTTCTGAAACACAAAATGCATTAGAATTATATTTATCTAGGTCAAGCCATTCCACAACACTTTTCAAGCTATAAAGGTTTGACTGTACTCAGTAAATTCTGTTGTGTTAACAAGACCATATTTGTCTAAATGTAAAGATAAATCACTGTTATATTAAGAAAATTTGGGGAAACTCTGGAGGAAGAGGTGCCAACAACTGGTTTTTTTTCCAAGACACGAGTTTCGTCTATATAAGACACATTAGTGGCGCTCGAATCAAAACTGTTTGAAGTCTAAATCCATATGAAATTGAAGAGCATACGGCTAAGGCCTAGATGTAAAACAATATTAGTGTTTCGAATAATTGAAAATTTTAAACAGACCATTTACATAAAAAGACTGTTTCATTGATATTTAAATTCAACACAGAAGTGATGACTACTGGTCCGATGATACCCTCAGGGGTATGACGTTTACCAGATGTTCCCCAATAGTGGCACCGACCCAGTGGTTGTAACAACTCATTAAGGTTACCAGGCTTTTAATTTCTTACACCAGACGATAGTTCGTCTACTTAAGACTCATAAAGGCAACAATAGTATACCGCTGTTCAAAAGTCATTAATCGATTAAGAGAAAACAAATCCGGGTTACAAACTAAAACCGAAGGAAACACATCAATTATAAGAGGAAAACAACGGAACAACAGAAAAGCTCAATTCAAAACCGTCTGAAGGCCAAATATAATATGAAGACCATATAGACCAACAAAACAATAGGAGTGAAACAAATCGGATTCGCATAAACTGAACTCAGACTGAAACCAGGTGCATTGACAGTGTTAGCATTGTTTGTTATTCATTCATCACCCAAAGTCGTATCCATCAGGAAGAGTCAAAAACATAAACAATATGAAAACTGATAATGTAAGAAATGAAAAGTAAAACAACAAAAATACCGAACTCCAAGGAAAATTCAAAACAGAAAGTCCTTTATCAAATGGCAAAATCAAAAGCTCAATCACATTAAACGAATGGAAAACAACTATCATATTTTTGACTTGATACAGGCATTTCCTTATGTAAAAAATGATGGATTAAACCTGGTTTTATAGCTAGCTTATCCTCCCACTTGTATGACAGTCGCATAAAATTCCATTATTTTGACAACAATGTGTGAACAAAACAAACAGATAACATAGATAAAAATGTCAAAAATTGGAGTACAGCAGTCAACATTGTGTTATAATCCTAATCATTATAAGAACAAACAACAATGTAAACACAGAAAATCAAAATGGCATATAGACAAAGTACATAAGCAAAAATGTCAAAATACCGAGCCACGCCAAAAGGATATTACCAAAAATGGACTAAACAGTAAAGTTTAATAATATACAAAGACAAATAAAAGAACACTATAACACGTTATTCAGATGATAAACAACGTCAGTACCTAGAATCTATACTTCAAGTCCATCATGTATTATTTGTGAAGTTGATACGGAATATTCATCAACAAGGTCTTGGTATCTTCCGATGGATATTTTTTAGAAAAAGGACGAGACGTTCTTTGACATAACCCTGGTTCATCAACTTTCTGCTGAGATACTGGTGACGTTTTATGAAGTCTGAGTAGCCACTGCAAGCTCTTGAATACCGAATGAGTAGGGAAATGTATATCCCATATGCAGTTGAAGTGAAAACAACGCTTTATAATTTCATGAGTCTGAAGCACTTTTCTGGATTTACCTACATCAGAAATGCTGAAAGCCAATGATTAATAAGAACCGAAACAGTTGAAAAGCATTGTGACCAAAAAGGATCTAAAAAATACCAAATCCATCTAAGGTCAACTTTGCCTAAAGAAGTGGAAGCCTTAGTTTCTTTATAATAAATTGCAACATAAATGTTTAGACAATTTATCAAAATGAAATTTGAACTGGAATAAATCAGTTCCTGTCTTTTGGTTATAGCCGTCGTGATGCTCATAACACCTATATTCCGACGAGATTTCTTTTTGAATGATTTGTCACAACCATGGCATGGACGTCGGAACTATGATCAAATAACACACTCTAGATTATTTGTGACACACATATTAAAACCAACCAAAGTAAAATTACAAGTACAAAACATTCAAATAAAATCCTCAACTCATAATGTGAAAAACTTGGTTTAGCCAATTCCTCGTAACTAACAAATCTCTATTTAAAATGTATATCTTTCTATTTCAATTGAATCGACTAGATCTTTGCAGTAACTAAATTATTTATAGAAAATATACCGTCCAAAAGGGGAACGTCAAGTAAAAGGATATGACTTGTTTCTGTAATGAAAAAACAAACCATCGAAAAGCTTCTAAAGGAATATCGACTGGCTTTTGGAAATACCCAGCAAACAGATATGTTTTTCGGCCACATCTTTGACGCAACTTATCAGTTTCAGTAACAACTCGGACTTCTTGTATATGGCATTTTTAAAGACAACTCGTACCACTTACAAAATGCTGGAGAACAATTCGTTATCGTTAGTTGGATCGAGTTTCTCCTCCTCCGGTTCGAAGTATATTTAAATAGCTGAAAAATTATTGTATACATTTGTAATGAAATGTATAGATTTTTGGAGCAAAGACTGTCTTTCTCTTCCGGGGCGGTGCATTTCATTCCTGGCTTTTATGTTTTATTTCATTTTGTTTGATTTTTTTTAGATTTTTTCTTTTTTTTCGTATCTGAGCATCATTGTTTCTTTTACTCTAATTTAATATACACAGATTGATGAGTTCTTTTTGTATATCTCCTTGATCTTAAACATTTACTACAAGCACTCAGAACAGCTCTACTATCAAAAGCCTTGAATGGATAAATCTATAAGTACAACAAATATATAAATATACACAGATATTTGTTCGTCTTTTCATTTGCCAGATCGCTCCCAAGTTGAAATAAATGGTCCGAATAGTCTTTCAAACTGGTCAATGCTGTCTTTGTAAGTGGTCTGAGTTGTCTAAAAAACTGATCCGAGATGTTTTAAAACTGGACCGACTTGTTTTGATCCTAGTTGTCTTTGGTCCGGTTGTCATGTATCAAAAACCTTATGTTAAGAATGGCTTTACAAAGTTAACAACTTTGACTGAATAAACATCTGCTAAAAAAGATACAAATGTGTATTACCATATAAAGAATGTTAACAAACACCTATGGAAATTCAATCATTTGTTATAAAAATCAAATACGTATACTCCTTGTTAACTTCAATGTTGCTACTCGAAAACATACGGTTATGGAATACGCGAACGCATCTTGAATAAAGTCATCTGCGAAAATCTTTTTGTCAATAAATGTGTAACAAACTATTTATACTGCTAATAGAATATTTACGTATCTATTGCACTTTCTTAAAGTAAAACATTATATTCATTAAAAGGCTTGTATTGAAGTCAATTACGTTTTAATGTCTTTGCAAACTCTTCAATGGTAACTCAAATGTAACTCATATATATATATACTGTGTATTTTATCAATTAAATAATATGAAAACCCGCTCAAGTAATTTTTAGGTACGCTGTAGACGATACATATTCTCTTTGCTCTGTTCTTTCTCCTGAGTATATAAAATATTGTTGATATGTGTTTTAAGAAATTTGTCGTTGATCTGATTGGTTATTCTACCTAGTCCGCCGCCACAAGTCTGAACAATGATCTCTTCTACAATATAGACACCTGGGAGCTACAACAACAAATAATTCACTAAAGGGTAAAACCTTATTCGGGAATAGTTGGTATGTTTAGATCATTCATGAACCTTCGGTAGGCAGAGCTATTTGAGATTGAAGGAGTTTATATTCAAATATAAACAACGAGAACGATATAAATGTAATAATCGCTGACAAAATTGTAACACCAAACGACCATCCAATAGAGTAACTTCCGGTTAAATCAATGCCTAACTGTTGATATGTTAAGATGCCATAGTGATCCTTTTGCAAGTCGGCAACGTAGTCTTTACCTTTAACTGCTACTACAATCAAAGTCATCAGAGTAAAACAACCTGTAATAGAAGTAACTAAAAAAATTGACTGTTCAGACTTGATGTTAAGAAAGTCAACGTCATGAGCTTTAATGGATTTTCCTTTAAATATGGACCATTCGGGTTCGTGTTAAAGAAAGGCAATGCCATCAGTGTTAAAAAGCAAGTTTGACCCACAGCTTGGTCATACCAAAACCATTGAAAGTTGTATTTTCTGCTTCTCCGTTTAGCACGCAACATTAAGGCGTAAGATCAGACTAGTCGGCTTCGAGTCGAAATAATGTGTCCTGCTAGGATAACATGTCTTTCTGCTAACTTTTATCTTAGGAACGAAAACATTAAAATCCGGTTCAGCGTCTAGTTTAAACGGGTTTCATATTCATATCGAAATAACACGTTCTCGTTCTAAATATGCATTTAATTTGCCATTGGAGGCTAAATTGTCATCCATCATCATCATCATCATCATCATAACAGATGTTCCTATAAATATAGACAATTAACTCGAATTTTAAGACTATCAAATAGTGGAATGGAATTATCATCATCATCGTCGTCGTCTTCGTCGTTACTTTTTGAAAGTCTTTAAAGAGGTTTTTAATTGAATGGTATATGGGTTGACTGAAGTAAAACATGCACTAAATAATTAAAAAAGAACATCTAGATGTCCCATACTTCTGTGCGATCATCAACACTCTTCTTATTTAATTTTGATTGATTAATTGGTTTCTGTGCCTACCTGCAGAAAACGTAACAAGGGAAGAAACCAGTGATATGTTCTTAGGATTCCAATAGTCTCCAAAGCCAACACTCCTCAAAAGCAATACAATTACTGTTACCATGACGACAAACTCCACAATGTAAAACAGTAATGTTATTATTGCCAAAGCTTGTACTGCGGGAATAAATTCTGAAATATTTTTTAAATCTCCTCAATTATCTAACAAGCTAAGTTACCTGAAACATATCACCATTAGCCAAGTACGAAGCAAATCATTTAAATACAACATGCACTGCATTAATACTAGTTGTATATATAGTCCTTATCATTTCAAGATGAATGGAAAATATGTTCGTACTAAATGTCTTAGTCACGTTTGTGGTGAATGATTTCTAAACAAAGGTACTGTCAAAATAGTTAATATTAAGAGATATACAACACATGGTTCTCACTAAGGATTTTTGGAGGCAAGTCCAGGGGGACTCGTCATTTTTTGTCCATGGCAAGTCCAATAGTGTGAATAAGAAATTTTATTGCTACATAACTTATTATTTCAGTTTCGATGACAAAACGGAGCAAGGAAATGGCACTAAGTTTAGATTATTTTTAAACTTTGGTTATAAAATGATGATATATGTTCTCAGTTGATACAACATTTGACACTCTTGGCGCATCTTTGGACTCATCAATTTTGAAAATAGAGTCCTGACAAAATTTCATGAGTCCAGGACTCACGTACTCACCTTAGTTAAAACCCTGCAACAAAAACAATACTATTCAAATTACGTCCGAAGCGCTTTTCTGGATTTTCTTTCATCAGGTACGCTCAAGCCTATATATTTGTAAGCCGTGAATGTATAAGTATATATCAACGTTCAGAACTGTATGACAAAAAAAAGACCTAAAAAAAGAGTGGCCAAAATCTTCAAGGGACAATTTTGCCCGAAGGAGTTGGAATTTTATTTTCTTAATAATTTCTTAATGTATCAACGGGAAATTCTAGAAAATAGGTTAAAAATCATGTCAGTACCTACGCACTGACTATGGAACATAGCTGATGATACCCCTGGGGACTAACAGTCCTTCGAATATGGTACCAACCTAAGGCTAGCAAAGTAAACAATACTTTATATATAAAAATTTGTTTTAGGTCATCATTGTAAACATTCTTTTTCGGATGTTTCACACCATAAATATACATTATAGTGTCAAAATTTACCCTCCGTTCTTTTACACAACTAACGTCTTTAAACATTGAACATTCTAAGTTTTTAATTATATACACTTTGTAAGATTAAAGTTAATTGTGTTCCCTTAATGGTATGAGTTCTACTGAAACCGGTTTATAAAAAGAGAGGCAAAGGATACGAAAGGAACATTCAAACTCATAAGTCGAAAATAAACCGAAAACGCAATTGCTAAAAAAGAAAAAGACAACAAAGCTATAAACATGATATAGAAATAATTATTCTATAGTTCAATGTAGTTTTATGATGTACAGTGATATACATTAATGAATGAAGATGTCAAACCTGGCTGTGATTTATACTGATTACAGGTCCAACCAACTTCTTGGACATAATAGCAGGCACTCCATAGCCCGCCTTGCATTCCTTGATCGACATGAAGCCAGTTCGGTGTGGCCATTCCAATCAGAAAGCAGAGAAAACCAGACAGATAAACCGCTAAAGCAACCCTGGCAGCTATACAGTTACGGTTGAATGGAATACTATCTATTGCCATCTAGGAATAGAATGACATATTGTTATATTGTAACATCTTTCACAATGCTTTCAATTATACAAAGCGCAAGTATTATACGTTCTTAACATCACGTTCGGGTCGTATATTTTAAAAATACCTTTTATACAGTATCTTTGACGAGTTTTTAATACAATATTCCGGCATTTAAAAGATCGTATCAAAGCAGATATAATTTCAAATACAAAAATACAGGCATTTTCATTTTGTAATACAATACACAAAGAACCTTCTGTCTTCTCGAAATGCAACACTGTGCTTCGCTACATTTATCTTGTCATGAAACATAACATGACGTCAATTTTACAAACAGGTTACATTGATACTCAGTACAACAACACATTAGTGTCGTTTCGGTCTGATGTTTATATTACTAGATTTATATTTCTAAAAATTTCAAGATATTAGTAACATTATTTAGCTACCATGCAATATCATGAAAAGGACATAACTAGCTAAAAGATGTAATACGTACCGTATCAACTTCTTGGTTAATTAACCTTCCTTGTGATTTTTCATGATTAAATGGGCTATCTGATAAAGAATAAAGAAGGAAATAGGTAAATCAATAATGTTATGAAATCTAAACCATAGTCATTGTTTCACTATACAAAGAAAAAATAATGAATCAACATAATTAAACGGCCTAAATAACTTCTAATAGGTCAGCAAGTAAAAACCTTTTCCAGTTCACAAGAAGTATGTTTGATAAAATAATTTCCATAAGGTTCGTTATTGGCAACAACTTCGGATTCAATGATTAAAACAACGTTAAGGAAAATCAAAACAAGAATGGAGCAAAACACAAACCGTAATTGAACGTATATATGCTTTGCTGAGATGAACGTTTTAACATTTTAGCCGTAACTTAAAATACAGGCTTTAGCAAATCAAAATTCAGTTTGAGCAAAAATCTTACCAAAAAATAAGATATTTCACTCTTATCAACATTTTTATATAAGGCATATTATGGGAACATATATTTTGTGAGTAATAAAATTGAGAATGGAAATGGGGAATGTGTCAAAGAGACAACAACCCGACCATAGAACAGACGACAGCAGAAGGTCACCAACAGGTCTTCAATGCAGCGAGAAATTCCCGCACCCGGAGGCGTCCTTCAGCTGGCCCCTAAACAAATATATATACTAGTTCAGTGATAATGAACGCCATACTAAACTCCAAATTGTACACAAGAAACTAAAATTAAAAATAATACAAGACTAACAAAGGCTAGAGGCTCCTGACTTGGGACAGGCGCAAAAATGCGGCGGGGTTAAACATGTTTATGAGATCTCAACCCTCCCCCTATACCTCTAGCCAATGTAGAAAAGTAAACGCATAACAATACGCACATTAAAATTCAGTTCAAGAGAAGTCCGAGTCTGATGTCAGAAGATGTAACCAAAGAAAATAAACAAAATGACAATAATACATAAATAACAACAGACTACTAGCAGTTAACTGACATGCCAGCTGCTTGCTACTCGTCTAAAAGTGTCAATGGAAAGATATAAAAATCAGGCAGTTAGGCAATTTTTGCAGTTTTTCAACCAATGGTAGACGTTTGACGATCTAAACAAAGCTGTTAGATAAAATTCAAATATATTAATACTGATAATGTACCCAACAGCCGAAATTTTCTAGTAAACATTGAAGGATTTATGTTAAATTACATTATGTTTTTCGATTACTAAGGGAACAAGTTTCTCATACCAAAACGTAGTAATAAACGTTTTACGAAAAATTCAATTTGCGTGATGTTAACCAGGTATCCTTCACACTTCTTAGAAATAAGAAGATGTGGTATGAGTGACAATGAGACAACTCTCCATCCAAGTCACAATGTGTAAAAAGTAAACAATACAGGTCAAAGTACGGCCTTCAACACGGAGCCTTGGCTCGCACCAAACAGCAAGCTATAAAGGGCCCGAAAATGACTAGTGTAAAACCATTCAAACAGAAAAACCAACATCGGTCTAATCTATATAAAAAACGAGAAACGAGAAACACTTAAGAACAACATCAACAAACGACAACCACTGAAACAAGTTCCTGACTTAGGACCGGTGCAAACAAATGCAGCGGGTTTAAACGTTTTAACAGGCGCCAACCTTCACCCTAACCTGAAATAGTAGTGTAACATTACAACATAGAAAGACACACTATAAAATATCAATTGAAATGGCTTAACTCAATCAAAAAGACATAATAACAAAAACAAGTAAACATACACTGAACGAATAAATTTGATCTATGTTCATTTAAAATTATATTAATTTACAATAATCATTTTCTGATATCATTGCTTGTGATTATAGGACGGGAAAGGTGTACGTGTGTGCGAGGGGAGGGGGTTGATGGTAGTCAAGTATGCACTTCTAGATTTGAAAAAAATCACATAATAAGCCAGATTGATTTTTTTTATATTAATTACTTTTTTTCAAACATAGCAATCTGTCACTCCAGTACTAAACCTCGTCCTGAAAATGAATGAAATATTTGTCACTGGACGAAAAAAAACAACAATCAATCAACCTTTACTAAACATGCACAAAGCTCTACAGTTTGGTTGATATTTTTGTATTCGGAAGTCTCCATAGGCTTCCACTGACTTTAAAAGTTTTTAAGCGCATTATAGCGTGTTCCACATATACCCGACACCCGAACGATAATCCCAAGTTCATTTTTTACATTATATTCTTTCTGCTCTTGGTCTACAGGAAGCTCTAGGTTTATGACGCCTATACAAGGTAACGAGAATAGAACGACATGCGGTATATTTTTTTACTTAAAATGACAAAATCCTTGGAATCTAATTCCATACCTGGCCAATTGAAGGCAATCTAAACGGTTGAGCATCATCCTGTTGTCTAGGAAACTACTGCGTGTGAATCTTGTTTGATGCTATTCTCTACACAAACCTGCGTATGCCGGTATCTGGAGTAAATTTGATTCAGAGGCTCCGTGTGTGGTTTTGAAATGTTTTGAAACTTTGCATGAATATGATTAGGATGTCTTTTTCCAAAGATCCTCATTTCGTTGGGTCGAACCAGTCACATTTTTCATGAAAATACTATAAGGGAAATTAAGCTTTTCCTGAGTAGGTATTAACAGATTATTATATATAAAATCATTTCCAATGTCTAATAAGGGCTAGCGATGCCATAGAGGTGTCATGTTTATCAACTGTATAATTGCCAAAAAATTCACGAAGTTTTAACCTCTGAAACAAAAACCGCAAATTATATCAAAAAAAAATCCATAAAAGGAGTTGCACATTTTCCATGTTTATGCATACAAGTTTAAAAGCTCCTAGGTTAGGAAAACATGTCGGACCTCGGGTAAATACCCCATTAAGTTATATGGTCCGTCGCTATTGATTTCGAAAACGCAAAAAATTGAAATAGCAAGTACATATTGCTTTAATTTATAAGGTTTGGAGGGGATTTGTTTCTCTCATTCATTACTCTTTTTTCTAGGCTTTCCATCTCTCTTTTCTTCTACATTTTATTTCTTTTCTGCAATACCCTTGCCTCTTGACAGTGTTCCAAAAGGAAGAAATATTATGAGGTTTATCATTTTTATTCCTCACAGAATAATTGTTATGGAATATTAGTTCCATAAGAAATATTTATAATGAAATTGTCTATAATAAAAATTTCAAAGGAACGTCTGCTATAACCAACAAATATACGTGGACATCAGTACTATGCAGTTCAAACATAAGATTCAATTGATATACACAGGTGTTTAAATCTTTTAATCACTTTTGTGTTTTGATACGATACCCATATTCAAAGTCTAATTTGTTAAACACGTCTATTAAAAGGTAGGATTTAAGAATAACAGAACAGAAGCTCTGTTTATTGGGTAGAATAGTACTCTGACAGTCCACCTTCCGTGGTACTGACCCAGTGTTAGTAAACGTATGATACTTAACGTGAACCATTGGTGGGTGGCTGCTTAAAACGTCTAACAGCAAATATAATAGGCATATTAAAGACAAAATCTTGTTCATATTTTTTAATATTCCTTGCTTTGTACTTCATGTAGACCGTCAAGGTCAGTTGAATGTTTAATTTTCTAGTTTACAAGGTAACAGTTCGTAGGAAGATATTATACCAGAAAAGATCACATTATACGGACTCCGAGATGACCAGTTCCTTTCTCGTAAATACTGCAAGCGCTGGACATGCAGCAAATACCAGTTTTTAAGTTTAGTTTTACTCAACTGAAGATCGAATCAACGACCGTCCGTACTCGAAATCAGTATGCTGCATCGAAAACACAATACAAAACACTGGAATAATTTGTATTTGTCAATTATGACGCTCCGAATTGGGCAGACAATTACAATTACATTTATACTTACAGTGTGCATAATAAAAATGATGATCTTTGTTGATTGGAAAATAACAATAAACTAAAATTGATTGATTAAACCATACAAAAGGGGAGACAACAAAAATACAGTGTTCCTACGAAGATATTGAGTAAACACACAACAGCGCAGACTGATTTTCTCTGTATAGTGTTGGAGGAGCTGGCAGGTTACTCACACCTTATTAATTCATTTAGCTCTTTAGTTTTTAAGAATGTTATTTTCGCCGCATTGCGGTGTAGGTGACATAGAAATAATGGTTGTCCGTCTTTCAGTCTGTCTTGTCTAGTTAGCGCCGTCACATGTATAAGGGAACAACCATTTACCTTGAAAAGGGGGGGGAGGGGGTCTGAGTCAGAAAATTTTTTCGCGCTTTTTTTTTAGTTTCTCGACGCTATCAATCAAATTATTTTTTTCAAAATTTAACACTATAAGGTATGGGGAAAATCTGGATTCAGAATATTTTGCTAATCTGCTTGACCACAATATTATTTCCATCAAATTGGGGATCAGAATATTTTTTTAGGAAAAAACCATACCCCCCTCTTGAGGTTAAATGGTCGTTCCCTAATTCTTTCCAGATATTTTTGAAATGTGTATCAAAAAGTTTTAAAAAACAAATGTCTTGGACGAGTTTGAAAATTTACTACTAGCAAGTAAGACAATGCATGAATTTTTTGTTGGAACTATTGCCCTTGGACAGATAAAATATGTGCATTGGCGGGGGAAAATGAGCCACTGTTCTTTTTATTACCACACTGTATAAGATCTTCATTTGCCATCAACGATATCTTTTGATTTGTCATCTATAGATTTAAAGTTAGTAAATCTAGATAATATTATCGAAATAAAGTCTAAACATGATGTTACGTAACGCTGGTTAATTCCTATCAGCAACAGTGTATCATGTTTGTCATGTAATTGGAATTATATTGTAGCATGTTTTATTGTGGAATTTATTAAACAAGGCAAATACTGTTTATCGAAATCATAATGTTTCATTGTGAATTTATTCATATCTTACTGAATCATGAATGATTACGTGAGCTAGGTAAAATGTTCAAGCATCTGTATTTCTTTCCCTCGAGTTAACTTTTTTCACGTGACTACAATAACCTGTTGATATACTGACTACGTCTTTCAACATCAACTGATAATCAGGTGTTTTTGGGTGCTAACAGCATGGAACAGTATATAAGATGGAGGCGTCACTACAATCACGTTTTCATAGATTGAAGAATTGCGTAACTGGGATCATTTTACAATGCACGTACCATTATTAGAAAATAAAGAAAATAAGAATAATGTAAAACTGCATATTATTATGCTTTTGATCAAGTCTAAATTTACTTTGCGCCAGGGCGGTACAGCAAACAACTATCAAATAGTTTTACGACGATATCAGAAACGAATTAAACAATATGAGGGCTGTACGGCAATTAGACAACGACCCAACGACAAAAAAATCGAAAGTCATATAGACGTTAACACACGGTCTTCAACAATAACAGGTGTCCATGCAATATGTCAAGTATATACAGTATAGTGAAACCTAATGGCATATATATGTACACATTTTCCCGATAAATTTCAAGTTATGTAAAATATAAATACGAGGAAAAAAAAAAAAAAATTCTAAAAATTCTATGCGTTCGAAACACACAAAGCCCATAACCCGAATGCCGAATGCACAAATACCGAGACACGACAAGAGTCATACAACAAAATATGATATAACAGTACAAAGACATATAAACGGGAATGTCATTTATTATTTGTCTAGCTTTTGAATTTTAAGTGCATCAATAACTCGAATTATCAATGACAAGAAGACATATAAAGTATTTAAATTGCAAATATTAGACTATCTTTTGTTTTTCAAATGATATATTTCAGCTGACTTTTGTCATTCTTTTTTGTACTTGTATCCCGATATCGTTCAGTATAGTAAAATGAAAAACATGGCTGATTTAATAATTGGGACTATAGAAAAAGATATAAGTCCTTGTATTTTCTACTTTATTTACAAAGAAATTCTATGTAAAAAAAAGAAAAAACTAATCCAGGAATTCAAATAACGAAAAATGTTCAACTCGTGACCGAACAACACTGATAACTTCGCACATTCGTGAATCAATGTGTTTTTCTGTCACTCGTTTACTATTTTTTATATTTGAAATCTTGGATTAGTTCTTCTATAGATATTACATTTATTATCAATAAAATGTTTCATTTTATTTATGCATAACAAATTACATTCGAGATTTACATCAGATAATTCAATTTTTTATCACATGCAATTTTATTTGCTTGTTTTGTTTTGTTTTGTTTTTTTATTTTGTGAATAAACCTTTCATCATTCAAATACGTATACAATTTAACCACTTGTAAGACTTGTTCCACAAAATTTTATTTTAGAAGGACGGATGAAAAACATTATAACCTCCTAAAGTTAGTTTCTTGGGGTATAACTGCAGCATGTTGTTAAATTATTATGAAGCTCACAAGTAATTGAAGCATGTTTGTTAATGGTTATTGTGACCGTCTTATTACTTTTTGATTTAAAACAAATAAAGTCGTGATTTCCTGACACTTTACTCTTCAATACATTATAGCAGTGCACTTGCCTCATTTAATGTAATACTTTAGGGCGATAAATGGTTTGTCACAAAACAGAAAAATACTTAACCTGGTTCTTAACGTCGGTGTTAGATTAAAAAAAGCAGCAAAGTGATATAGCAAGAGTAATGTCACAAAAAGTCATCCACTTCAGCGACAACAAATCAATACGAAGAGATGAATATAAATTATAGAATGTATCAACAATGAAACTGTGGTCTTCATTCATATAATGAACATGTTTAGTAGATTAAATCTGTTTAAGATAAAGACATGCCTTCATACAAACATTAAAAACGTTTAAAATAAACAAACAATCACATGCACACATGCAACACAACACATACAAATACCTGGGTATCTCTCTTTGATGGATTAATCAATGACTGACAATTTGTGTCTGTATTGATCACACAAGAACGACAACTCGTGTATGTTAAAAAGTCGTATTGTATTTGTTATTTTCTGTACTATAAACTAGCAAATCAGGAAATGATAATGCAACGTTTTAACCATGGCTTGTTCTGATTCTCTATATTATATACAAAGTCAGATAAATAAGATCTCGGGTTCTTTTTCTTGTGTTCAACGTTTACATTCTGATGTTTGCCTTTTAAATGAATGAACAGCGGAGTTTTATCGGAAGTCCCATAGCAATATCTCATTAATGATTAATGCAATGATAAAACCGGATTATATTGGACTTTTTGCCAATTAATTTGAATATTTACACATATATCTATCCATTTCGTTCGGATTAAGTATCCTATTTATATAAAAAAGTGAAATTCTGTATAAAAAATCAAGTTCAAATGGTTTCAAGATAATTGCAAAAAGATCAGCATCTTCAAAATATCTATTCAATGTAAATGAATATTATGTGAATTACACATTTTGTCAATGGTGATAACAGTAAAATATTTACTTTAACAGTGTTTATAGCATCAAAGGTCGATAATTCGGGGCATTTTCTTTTATACCCTGAAATCGTTGCGGACATAGTCATTGCTATAGGTATAATGCCTATCCAAGACGACTTCGCCTATTGATACCGTTATACTCTATACTTTACTTTGTAACAGTGTCAGTAGAAAAAGCAAAAAAAAAACAAAAAAAAAAACAGGAAAATATTTGTAAATTTAAGAAACCAATAGAACATTTTATTAATTACTGAAATATCTCGACTGAATTACTCATATAATTTTTATATATTCTGAAGAAACAAAGAGATAGAGTTCCCTAAATTCAAAATTGGTGTTATCTACAAAGAAATGAAGATCAAATATTTATATAATTCAAAATGTATTAATAAAGGTGTTATGAAGGATGCTGGTATATAATTTTTTACTGTAAACCAGATAGTGAGAATAGTATTAAAACAGTAAAAGACAGTAAAAGGTGTTATGAAGGATGCTGCTATATAATTTTTACTGTAAACCAGATAGTGAGAATAGTATTAAAACAGTAAAAGGTGTTATGAAGGATGCTGGTATATAATTTTTACTGTAAACCAGATAGTGAGAATAGTATTAAAACAGTGAAAGACAGTTAAATTGGTATTTATTCATAAAGTTACTAAAAACATTTTGTTTTAAATACGGATATTTACATGTGTATATAATGCATGAGAAATCTTCATATTGTAATATAAATTATGGGATTTTAAGAGCTAGAAAAGAATATTGCTTTTGAGTATATATAGAAAGGTGGTATATAAAACTTAGGAGCAATGAAACAACTATCAACCAGAGTTTAAATGACGGAGAAGTAAGCAATTATATGTCACCGTACGGGTTTTAACAATGAGAAACACCTATACCGTATAGTTAGCTATAAAAGACCCGAACAGGAAATAAGTGAAACAATTCAAGCGAGAAAACTAATGGCCTTATTAATAACACTTCAATTTACAAAACAAAACAAAACCAAATATGCAACATAGATAAGTTTATGTATATGTACAAAAATGATAATCCCTTTCTTCATGATTAAGTAGGATAATCCCTTAATAAGAACATCATGTATATTCATTCTTCACAATTAATGAACATCAAATTTGCAATTTCATTGTTCGAGAACACTTTGCCATATTCTAATCTAGTATGATATTACAGTGATCGTATCAATCTATATCTTTTTTATGCGAATAGAATACTATAGTTTGTTAACTAAATGTTACTCTAAGTTTTGATAATCTAGAAAAGTATGTACATAAACTCATCATAGATACCAGTATTAGAATTTTGTACGCCAAACGCGCGTTTTGTCTACAAAAGACTTCTCAGCCAGTGACGCTCGATTTGAAAAGTTAAAAAGGTCAAATAAAGGACGAAGTTGAAGAGTACTGGTCGAGGACCCAAAATTCCGAAAGACGTAAGTAGTGTAGATCATGATGAAAATTCCATAATTTTTCCCAAGAAGTTTCATTGATTCAACAGCAAATGTTTTCGGTCAAAATTTTGTACAAATGTGTCACAAGATGAGGTAAACTATATGTAATAGAAGATTTCAAAAAGAGGCGCTTGTACGCGCCATCAAGAAACAAATACAAATAAGATAGAAATACACTCATCAAATATACCAGGTTAGGGAGGGTTGAGTGTTCACAAACATGTTTAGCCCCGCCACATTCTTTATGAGCCTTTCCTAAGTCAGGAGCTTGTAGTTCAGTGGTTGTCGTTGGTTCATGTCTGTTAGATTTGTTTTTCGTAAATTGTTTTGTTATAAATTAGGACGTTAGTTTTCTCAATTGAATTGTTTCATATTTTTCATGTCGGGGCATTTTACATCTGACTATACGGTATGTGTTTTTCTCATTGTTGAAGGTCGTACGGTTGCCTATAATTGCTTACATCCACTTCATTTGAAATTTGGTGGATAGTTGTTTCATTGGCAATCATACCACATCTCTTTATTTTTATATTAGAATTGTGTACACTAGACGCGCGTTTTGTAAAAAAAGACTCAACAGTGATGCTCGAAGTTGAGGACCCAAATTTTTTAAAGTTTTTGCCAAATACAGCTACGATAACCTTTTGCTGTAGAAACGTTTGTGAGAACAGGAACTAATATACTATTAAGGTGATGGATGTGATTATGAATGTCGATGAGATAACTGTCAACCCAATTGTGATAAGAATGATACAGGTACCGCAAAACTTTCAAAGTAAATCTCTGTTTCTATGAATGAATTTAAAGAAAGTTGTAAAGTGTGAAGTAATTTGTGATAACAAAATCCTCGACTCAATAATTTACCAGTTATACATATGTAATCGTTATGGGATATCTGTGTAATAGAATGAAGATTGATATGTTCCAATTGTCCTAACCACAATCCCGACCTCGTTTTCACGAATGTGACATACCGAATTAGACTTGTCACCTGTATTGTACTCGAATGAGCAACACGTTGGTTTTTCTCTGCTATACATAGTTTTCGTTCATCGTTTTGACATTAATGAGACCGTTGGTTTTCTCTTTTGAATTGCTGAACTCTTAACAAAGTAAAGTCGAACTTGATTAAGCCTTGAATTTTAGAAATGAAATAGTATGACCTTATCCTCTCTGGTTAATAGTTAAATATAATTTTCTTTTAAAAAATACGACATTCCACCGGCATTTTTTTTTTCATTTAAAGAGCAACATAGTGTTTGTTACGTGCATTTTATGTCATCATTTAAGAATCTACTAGAATATTTTTTGAATCCTTGGTAAAGTTGGTATAACCCCATAACCTCTTGTTTTAAAGAGCTTTGTTCACCACAAATAAGTAGAAAAACAAAATATTGTTATCATCGGCCACCGGTCTCCAGTTATATGTTATTTTTAACCGTCTAGCATCAACTTCCCAAATTGTAATCTTGAAAACTGGAAATACTATGAATGAACTTTTTAGTTTAATATGATAAGAAGTATCAATTATCCGATTGAGAAATATTTAATGAGTGGCCATGTCGACCATTCGAGACCCTCGTGGGTAGTCAAGGTCGTTAAAAACCCCCTAATAGTAGTGAGTGGCCATACTAATCACTAACAAACTGGGCAAACGATCATAAAAGAAATTAGGATTTGGGGAAAAGTATATAACAAGCGAAATCGAGGTTACAGGAAACCACAATATACTTGACACAGGAGGTTCTAGAATTCCTAGATGGTAATTTAAAGAGATTATCTATATCCTTCGTCAATTTCTGAGGACTTTTAAAGTAAAGAATATGTTTGATGAAGAAATATAATATGTTGTAATGTATCCGGCGTGTTATGTTGAAAGGGGAATCTCCATAAGCCCCAAATTTTATATTTATTTTTTAGCGTCATATTAATAAAACAATGCAAAATACGCATATTAAACTCAAATCTTTCAACAATAGTTCTAAAAGATAACAGTACACATTGACCGCCTTTTAATTTCACTTGTAGCAATATAGTGTTGATTGCATTGGTTTAATGTTGTAACATGAAGGTGTAATATGCACCGAATTAGACGTAGAAGATATTTTGTAAAATTTTCTAGACTTTTTTCTTATGTATATTAAACCGCCTTTTATACTATTTTCGTATATCGTGTTTAAATACAGCGCAATAAGTGTAAAGGCCTTTAAAACACTCGTTTCACGCAAAGGGATAAGCTAATGATGATTATAATAGTTCACCGAGAGGTCACGTTGTTTCCCTATATTACCATTTTTATGTATGATGTAAATCTTTGATTTAAAACGGTTAAATCTGATACATTCAACTTTTGACTGCATCTCTATGTTCAAAGTTCACGTTTTAAAAATTTGAATAGATGATAATTACTTGATATAACATTGACTGGTATAGACCTGTTTGTTTGTCTTCAAATAAGTAATATATTCTGTTTAGTTATCACAAATCGGTCAAATGAATATTTGATCAAATGATTCACATGTTCCCTCATAACAGAATGTCATGACTAACAGTGATTATCAGACAATTTCCTCATTTGGGAAAAAACAAAAGGACAAATAATGAATCTGAAACCCTCTGGTGATCCAATTGCCTAACCTTCATATATGCAAATACAGATTTGATTTCCCAATTCATAAATAAACTGATTATGTCTATTTCAACATTCCAGGTTTTCTTAACTAATATTTACGAGATGAATTATTTGACTGATGATACAAGTTCCTTTCTTGTTATTCAATTGACGTGGATGTTAGCACCTGAAGGTCACCGTGCGGCCTTCAGCAATGTGCTGTACCCATAATGTTTAATCAGCTATAAAAAGACCCAACATGACAAAATGTGAAACAATTCAAACAACGGCCTGATAAATGACAACAATAAAAGAAAAAACAAATTACGGAGAGGTTCCAACGATAACCACTGAAATACTTTGGGCAGTCACAAAAAGAATGGCGCCAG